TGCCTTCTTAGCATCCAGTTTTTTTTTTTTTCTCTCTGGCTAGACCTTTAGATTTTTGCTTTGGGAAATAATATCATTCTCTGATGAAAAAGCAACTGTCTTGCTGAGATAGTCAGTGGAGGCACCATCCTCCCCTGGCCAAGAGGTGGGCACCAGCCAAGTCTGGGCCAATGAGATGCCTTCCTGGAAGATCCAGCTGGTGGAGACCTGACATAAGAGCCAAACCTGTGGCAGGCTAGCTGTGGGAGGAGGCTAGAATGGCTTCTGTGTCAGATTTCCCCTTCCTGCCTTTGGTCTAGGCATGCACTTCTGCCTCAGTTTCCCTGCCTACATCTATTCCCATTGCCTAGGTACATGTAGGTCTCCTCATCCTGCATCAGGTCCATAGCTAGAGGTCCTCAGGCTCATGCAACAGTTAAGGGGACACCTAGCATGGGTTGCCTGGGATTTGGTTACAGAAAAGAAGGTGGACAGAAGGGAGAGGACCCCCACAATTTGCCCTGAAATGGGGGGCATCCTGACCTCCACCAATGCCCAACTGGGATGCTTCCTTCTCTAGGTCATGCTGACAGGCACAGAACCCATTCTGCTCTTGGACTCTGGCACTGTCAAAGTTTCTGGGACAGGATGACCTAAGCCTAACTCCTGTCTGGGAGACTGGAAGATGTCTGCAGGGACAAGAGTATGATGGGGCTGGGGACTGTTAAGAAGTCACAGCCTAGAGGAGAGCTGGGTTTTTCATTTCCCTGCTTTTGACAGAGATGAAGGTACTAGGAATGTACCTTTCATCTTCATCCAAGCATACAAAAACACAGGGCAAGAAAGTGCTAAAGGCAAATGCCACATTTTTTTTATCCATTCCTCTATTGAAGGGCATCTGGGTTGGTTCCACAGTCTAGCAATTGTGAATTGTGCTGCTATGAACATCGATGTGGCAGTATCCCTGTAGTACGCTCTTTTAAGGTCTTCAGGGAATAGTCCGAGAAGGGCAATAGCTGGGTCAAATGGTGGTTCCATTCCCAGCTTTCCCAGGAATCTCCATACTGCTTTCCAAATTGGCCGCACCAGCTTGCAGTCCCACCAGCAATGTACAAGGGTACCCTTTTCCCCACATCCTCGCCAGCACTTGTTGTTGTTTGACTTCATAATGGCTGCCAATCTTACTGGAGTGAGATGGTATCTTAGGGTGGTTTTGATTTGCATTTCTCTGACTGCTAGAGATGGTGAGCATTTTTTCATGTACTTGTTGATTGATTGTATGTCCTCCTCTGAGAAGTGTCTGTTCAGGTCCTTGGCCCATTTGTTGATTGAGTTATTTGTTATCTTATTGTCTAATTTTTTGAGTTCTTTGTATACTCTGGATATTAGGGCTCTATCTGAAGTGTGAGGAGTAAAAATTTGTTCCCATGATGTAGGCTCCCTATTTACATCTCTTATTGTTTCTCTTGCTGAGAAAAAACTTTTCAGTTTAAGTAAGTCCCATTTGTTGATTCTTGTTATTAACTCTTGTGCTATGGGTGTCCTGTTAAGGAATTTGGAGCCCGACCCCACAATATGTAGATCGGAGCCAACTTTTTCTTCTATCAGACGCAGAGTCTCTGATTTGATATCTAGCTCCTTGATCCACTTTGAGTTAACTTTTGTGCATGGCGAGAGGAGGGGATTCAGTTTCATTTGGTTGCATATGAATTTCCAGTTTTCCCAACACCATTTGTTGAAGATGCTATCCTTCCTCCATTGCATGCTTTTAGCTCCTTTATCAAATATAAGGTAGTTGTAGCTTTGTGGATTAGTCTCTGTGTCCTCTATTCTGTACCATTGGTCCACCCGCCTGTTTTGGTACCAGTACCATGCTGTTTTTGTTACTATTGCTCTGTGATATAGTTTGAAATCTGGTATTGCTATACCGCCTGATTCACACTTCCTGCTTAGAATTGCTTTTGCTATTCTGGGTCTTTTATTTTTCCATATGAATTTCATGAAAAATGACAAAATCATGGAATTTGCAGGGAAATGGATGGCACTAGAGCAGATTATGCTTAGTGAAGCTAGCCAATCCCTAAAAAACAAATACCAAATGTCTTCATTGATATAATGAGAGCAACTAAGAACAGAGCAGGGAGGAAGAGCAGGAAGAAAAGATTAACATTAAACAGAGTCATGAGGTGGGAGGGAAAGGGAGAGAAAAGGGAAATTGCATGGTAATGGAGGGAGACCCTCATTGTTATACAAAATTACATATAAGAGGTTGTGAGGGGAATGGGAAAATAAACAAGGAGAGAAATGAATTACAGTAGATGGGGTAGAGAGAGAAGATGGGAGGGGAGGGGAGGGGGGATAGTAGAGGATAGGAAAGGTAGCAGAATACAACAGTTACTAATAGGGCATTATGTAAAAATGTGGATGTGTAACCGATGTGATTCTGCAATCTGTATTTGGGGTAAAATTGGGAGTTCATAACCAGCTTGAATCTAATGTATGAAATATGATATGTCAAGAGCTTTGTATTGTTTTGAACAACCAATAAAAATAATTAAAAAAAAAAAAGAAAGTGCTAAAGGCTCTGTCACTTCTCCTCAGTGTGAGGCTTTTAGAGAGTAGCCTGGGATGTGGTGATGAAAAAACACAGGCTTTGCTGGACTCCCAAGGGGCTGATCACATGCCCACACTTTCCAGGTTTAAGGGACACCAGGACCCAACTCTCATGTTTCTATTCTGACTTTCAGAGTGGTCGGTATAGTTTTCCCTTGATATCCATGGGAAGTGGTTCCAAGATCTCTGTGGATACTAGAATGCATAGATGCTCAAGTCCCTTTTATTTAAAAAAATGTAGTATTGCCTGGGCAGTGATGCACACCTATTACCCAAGTTACTCAGGAGGCTGAGGTTGAAGGTTGGTGAGGTTGGGGCCAGCCTGGAAACCTAGCAAGACCTCATCTCAAAACAAAAAATAAAAAGGGCTGGGAATATAGTTCAGTGGTAGAACATCCATGGTTCCATTTTCAATATTGGAAAAAAGAAGAGATGTAGTATTTGCATATAACTTACACTCATCCTCTTGTATACTTTAAACCATCTCTAATATATATGATATATATTATAACCACCTCTAATAATATGTAATGCAATGTAAGTGTCATGTAACAATCATTTTACTGTATTATTTAGGGAAAAATAAGAAAAACGTTTGTTTGTATTTTGAACAGACACAATATTTTTCTAAATATTTTCTGTCTGTAGTTGGTGGGATCCATGGATGCAGAATTTGCAGATACAGAGGGCTCACTATAATTCTGCTTTTTAAAAAAGCCACCTTGGAGGCCATGCTGTGAGGCATTTCAAAAGTACATTTAGAAATGACATCTCTAGCTCCCAGGTGGCCAATTTATAATCCCCATCCTGCAGGTGGCTGGTCAAGGCAATGTTGTTCTCACTACTTCCTGGGGACTAGAGAGGGCATATTCTCCAGGCAAACTTTCCTGAGCAGGCACTGGGCTAAGCAGGTGGAAGGGACAGAAGCAAAGGATACTGCAGGAGGAGGGCCCTGTGAGGACTACTGTCATGCCAGGAAGTTACTCCCCTGAGTTCTGACAAGTGTCCTCACCTGCTCGGAACAGGGAGAAATGCCAATGAGATCGAGTAACAGAGCAAACATCACACCACCTGCCATAGAGAAGACTGGGCCCCCAAGGTCAGCTCTCCTCTTGGGAACTCACTGCCTGCCATGGGCCGGAACTACAATACAGGTGGTAACTGTTCCACCTGCTATCTGAGGCTCTGTGCCCCAAAGACTTGCTGCCTCTGCTCCCCTGGTCCACCAGAATTTCCATGCTGGCTGTGGCCCAGATAACCCACTATCTTTCTCATCCAGCCTGCTAGCTGGACTTTCTGCAACCAGGCATCAATAGCTACTGGGAATTATCCCTGCTGAGCTGGCCTTGAAGGTAATAGTAGTCTCATGCTCTGGACTGAATATTGTTGATCCTCTCTGCAACTTGATTGCCATAGTGGCTATGCTGATAGGTGGGGCATTTAGGCTGATTAGATAGTTAAAAGGTATTAATGCCTTTCTCATGGGATTGGATTGGTTACCTGGAGAGTGAATCCTTATAGAATGTGATTTCTCCTCTTCCACACAAACTCATTTGCTCCTTGGCTTGCTACCAGGAATTGAAACAGCATGAGGTCCTCATAAGAATCACGATTTTAGACGACCCAGCTTCCAGAACCATGAGCCAAAATAAAACTCTATTTTTTTTTAATAAATTATCCGTTCTCAGGTATTCTGGTATAGCAACCAAAAAAGAAATAGGACAGCCCACATCTCCAAATCAGAGCTATTCTGCTCTTGCCATAGTATGTGTAGAATTTTAGACATTCTTGCCCAATAACTCGCTTTCCTTTTCCCCATTATATCTTTGTAAAATTTTTGGAATAGGGCTGGGAGCTTAGCTCAGTAGTAGAGTGTGATGCTGGCCTTATAGCTCTACAAATGTCTGGAAGCACCAGGAACTTATGGCCTCTTCCTTCCCCTGCCATGAGAAAGATCCGAGCAGCTTGGCCTCCTCAGAGCTCCTGTTTCAGTCTCCATTCAGTTATACTCCATTCTCTGCAGGGGCCCCAGAAGCTCTCAGAAGAGGCCTGCATTCCTTACTTTATCACAGTGGCCAAGGCAGTAGTGCCCCCTGGGTAGTATCTGATGGCTCAGGGCATCATTGAGGGAGTCACATTGGCATCTTTGCTTGAGACAGCTTCTGCTGCTCCTTCAGGAACAAGGACCATCTCCTTTGTATTAGGAAGTAGGGAACTGAACTAAGGCCTATTTCCAAGGGTCCTGGGTGAAGCACCTGCCTCACTTCCCCCATTCAGGTTCTGACCTCCAGGAGTTTTAATTCAAAGAAGAAAAACTCTGTATCATGCGTATGTGTCTTCTGTTTTCTATCACTTAGTACTTAAAACAACTATGTGGGAATGATTGCTCACTTCACAGAGGAACATACCTGGCCCCTGAGAGGTAATGTGGGTGGACAAGGTCACTGCTGGTGACTAGTGGACGTCCCTGGATGCCTGGGCTCCCAACTCTAGGTCCAACTCCTGGGCATGGTTCTGTGAAGAAGAATTGGTCAAGGTTAAGTAGAGAACAGATATGGCCTGGAGATTCAACAGGGGAGCTGGGATAAGGGGCTGGGAGCTGGGGAGGGCCACCTGAATACTAGGAAACCCCAAAGTGGCCCAGTCTCCAGGGGTTGCGGAGCTCCCTAAGCATGCCCTGTTGGATTCTCATGAAGGTGAAGCTCCAGCCCACAGCTCAGCCCTCCTCACACTTTGCATCAGAACCTTTGACCAGCCCCACTCCCCACACTTGGACCTGGATCATGCCAGTTCATACACAGCTGCTCTGAGCAGTGCAGAGCCCAACAAACTCTGGGGTCCTCCTCTTTCCCTTCTGGCAAAGCCTAAAGCTGAGGCACATCTTATTGCAGTTTGGGTCCTCTGAAAGTCTCCTCCCTGTTCCTTGGTGTCTGAAGGGATGCTATGAGGGTCCTGGGATGTACTCCTGAGCTCGCGACCGTGCTTGCCAAGATTGGGAATGCACCTGGCTTTGCCTCTAGGAGGCCACCTGACAGACTTGGTGGGGAGTGGAGCACTGGGCTGAGTTATTTTGGACTCCAAATGGCCCTCGGTTACCAGCTGACAGATCCTGCTGTTTCCACACCTCCAGAAGCAGTTTCTGAAAGCTCAGGGCCTGACTTGAAGGGACCTGTCCAGTACAAGTGAACAGCACCAAAGACCCACAGAAGATTGGCAGCTGAAAATAGAGCTTTCCACAGAGTGAAAACGTCCTCTTCTTCCCTGGACCACATTCTCAATGATTTCCCAAGACACTTCTAGAAGGAGAGGAACTGGGTCAAAAGATACCATCTCTTTTATAGAAGTTGAGATATACCACCTAATTGCTTCCTCAAACCATATTGAAGGGATGTTATTTCAAATTCCTGATGCTTCCTCACTTCCAGGAACCATTTCTCCTCATTGGCTGGGACCCTGGGTAGGGGAGCTAGAGAAGCAGGATGGGTGTAAGTAAACCTGACCAAAGAGTGCAGCATCCCCTCCTCCCCCTGAACCGATGATGCAGGTTATATGATTAAAGTAAATCCCGGGCCTTGTTTGGAGACTAACATGGAGAAATGTCCTTTCAATATTTCCCCCTCATTAATTAAAAAAAATGAATCAAACACAAAAGAGTCTATAAGCACATTTGTAATTTAAATAATAATAAATTATTATTATAACAACTTGGACTTTTGTGACTTACCCAGGCTAATAAAATGAGCTTTAAAAATCCCTTATGAACACAGATGTGTAACCCATGGAGGGTGGACAGGGATATGTCAGTGTAAGTGTCTCTGGATACCATTTCCTTACTAACTTGGAGTGTTTCCTGTAAATCTCTGTTTTTGGTGATTCAGGTCAGCACTTCTCACTCCCACCCAGGGTCCTACTGAAAGAAACCATTTGGCTCCCACTAGGGCAGAACAACAGATAGAGGTCAGCAAAGCCTCCATGGTCCAATAGAGCAAGCACTGCCTTCTGTCTTTGTTTTCTGTTGCTAATAATACAACATCACAGACTGGGCAAGTTAAAAAGAAAAGAGGTTGATTTTGGCTCATGATTCTGGAACAAGACCAAGGGGTTGTATCTGGTAACGATGCCCTTATTGCTGGCAGAGTCCCAAGATGGTGCAGGGCATCACATGGTGAAAGGGAGTGTGTGAGAGTACTAGCCCAACTGGCTTTCACAGAAAACCCACTCTCAAGATAACCCACTAGCCCATGAATCCATTCATTCATTGTTGCATAAATGGACTAATCCATTCATGAGGTCAGAGACTTACTCCCTTTTTAAAGGTCTCACCTCTAAATATCTCATAATGGGGATTATACTTCAACATGAGTTTCAGACAAGACAAACCAGTTATATACAAATCATAGCACATTCCATGTGCAGTTGTTCTCTGGGGCCTTCAGATTGATCACCCTCTGCTCCTGGGCACCAGGGTGATCAATATATTATATTGCTGTTGCTCTCTTAGTCAAAGGGTTTTTCTCAGGCTGTGGGCAAGGGGAGACTTCCCACTGATGACAAATCTCCTTTGTTGGTGATATACTTTGACCATTGCTTCACCACCTGGGATCACTATACCCGACTTCCTGAAGTAAGGAGACTTCTGCTCTGCTCATATCTAGACTTCTACCCCAATACCAATTCCAGCATCCCCATCATCCCACATAGGCTTTGCCTCTTGGAAGAAAAAACTGCTCTTCATTTCAGTTAGTCATATATGATATGCCTGTCTCCAATGATGCAGTGATAGAAAGATTTGAAAATGTTTTGGAAGCTAAGAAATACAAAATGAACCTCTGTATAGAGAAGTGAGGGGAAAAGTGAGTAGAAGAACATCTATAGTGCTAAGAGTCCTACACCGGCAACAATCTTTACACAGCTTAAGAGCCTGCCTATACAGGCCAGGCAAATCCCTAGTGTAGATTCATAAATGTTTCCTACAAGGGCATCAAGGCATTTTCTTTGCTATGCTGATATTCAGGTTATAGCATCTGTATTTACAACATAGCATAATGTGGCAATACTCAGGAAATGTGTCAACAGGAGCGATGACAGGAAATTGAGAAAGGGGTACATGCCAGCATTTGATGTGACCCTGGAAAATTGTGGATGTTGAAGGGAGAAGAGGAGGAGGAACATCACTTAAAATAGTGAAAACTAATAAAATAAAATACTAATAGCATAAAGAAAATACGGACGACTTCCCACCAACATTCCCTTTTCCCCTCTCACACAGCCAGCCTGTCCAAGAGCACTGGGGAGGAAGTAGCTGCAAAGAACAGAGAAAAACAGAACTCTTCTTTTGGGATTTCAAGTTTTATAAGTGTGGGAAAACCATTATGGATAAAGGCAAAGATCCTCCAGTAAAGTTAACAGGATTTTTTGTATACTGGAAATTGACTAAGACAGGAGATTTTAGGTGTTCTTAACCATTAAAACAACAACAATGAACTATGTGAGAGGATGAATATATAAATTTGTTTGGCTATAATAATCAATACACTTATATTTATGTCTATCAACACTAATGTTATATACCTTAAATATGTACAACTAAAAAGAAAAAAGACAAAATTCCTTTATAGCCCCCAGATTAGAAAAATGCTTCCTAGGCTTGGGGGAGAGAAAGTTGCAGGGAGGCCCTGAAAAATAGGGATTGGCAGTAGGTGGGAGAGGGTTCTCCCTCTGCCTTGCCCGGTGTATCTTTTGGGAGGCAAATACTGACCAGATGGGTCAGCAATTCTGAAGGCACAGGACCTGATTTCAGGGTCATTAATTTCTTTTTCTCTCTTTCTTTTTTTATTTATTGTAGTTGGACACACTATCTTTATTTCATTTATTTATTTATTTGTGTAGTGCTGAGGATCGAACCCAGGGTTTTGCACGTGTGAGGCAAGCGCTCTACCGCCGAGCTACAACCCCGGCCCAAGGGTCATTAATTTCTATACTGATCTTCATTGTTTCCTTTATTTGGCTTGCTTTGGGTCTTTTTTTTTTTTCTAGTTTCTTAAAGTAACAATTTCAATTACTGATTAGGGAACTTTCTTCCTTTCTAATGTAAGAATTTAGCCTTTTTAGGTACTGTTTTAGGTATTTCTTACAAATTTTGAAATGCTGCATTTTCATTTAAAAATATTTTCAAATTTCTCTCTCTCTTACCTATAAACTTAGGAATGTTTACAAGTAAATGTGTGCAGATTTTTCTGTTATTGTTCTATATTTGATTTTTAATCAAAGTGCATTATTGTCAGAAAATATTTGTATGCGTTTGATGCTTTTATAATTGTTAAAGTGAATTTTATGTTCCCAGATATGATTTTATTTTGGTGAATATTTCACATGCACTTAAAAAGAATGTGTGCTCTGCTTTTCTTTTGGAGTGACTGTGCTGTAAATGTCAATTGGATCCAGTTGGTTGCTGTTGCTGTTCAGTTCTTCTCTATCTAAAAATATCAATCAATCAATAAACCTACCCTGATGCTTTTTTGTCTTTTAATAAGTATATTTATACTATTTACAATTAATATATCTGTTGATGTATTTGTATGGGGGTTATTAGTTTTATTTATTAGTAGATTTATTTTTTAGAGCTGATTTCTATTAATTCTAAGAATGAGAGAAGTGTGTTAAAAGTCTTTATATTTGTGAATTTGTCTACTTTGATTTTAGTTCTATCTGTTTTGCTTCATCCATTTTGAAGCTCTGTTGTTAGGTATGTGCACATTTGGGATTATTATGTCCTCTTCATAAATGTCTCTTTGATTGCTATTAATGTTCATATTTATCTTTGGAAATATTCTTTGCCTTGAAGTCTACTTTGCCTGTTGTTAAAATAGCCATCCTAGGATGAGGATGATGATCACAATAATGAGGATTTTGAATGTTTTAGTATCTTCTTCCATTCTGTTTCTTTTAAATTACCTATGCAATTTATTTGAAATGTTTTTTTTAGGCAACAAAAAATTGAATCATTTAAAAAAAACTATCCTATTTATTGGGATGAACCCAACTGTTATGTACAACTATAAATCTCTAATAAAAAATAAAAATATCAATCAAGAAATAAACCTCTCCTGACACTTTTGTCTTTTAATAAGTATATTTATACTATTTACAATTAATATATCTGTTGATGATTTGGATGCGGGCTACTAGTTTTCTTTATTAGTTGACTTATTCTTTAGAGCAGTTTTCAAATCAGAGTAATGATTCTTTTTTTTTCTTTTTGCTGCCTCTTTATTTTTTTCGCTCCCCTTATTTTCATTCTTTGTTTCCTTCCTTCTGCCTTTTTTTTGAATTATTTGATTTTTTTTATTCCATTTTATATTCAGTTTTAAAATTACATCTCTTTGGTATTTTTTTTTTCATGGTAGCACTAGGCATTACAATGTACATACTTTAATGCTTTGCAGTCTATTTAGAATAAATATTTTGCCAGGTGTTGTGGCACACACCTGTAATTCCAGCAACTTGGGAGGCTG